TTTTTTTTTTTACGAGAAGAAGGGGGATGGTTAGAGAGCCAGAAACATCAATGAGAGAGAAACATTGACCAGCTGCCTCCTACACATCCCCTAATGGGGATGTGCCTGCAACCAATGTACATGCCCTTGACCGGAATCGAACCTGGGACCTTTCAGTCGGCAGACCAACGTTCTATCCACTGAGCCAAACCGGTTTTGTCTGGCCTTATATTTTCTTTGCACCTAAAAGGGCCTACCATGTCCCCTGGAAATTATACTGTAGAGTGCAGTTGATGTAAGTTGATTTTGCTAAGCATGATTGACCCGGATCCGGAGCAAACGGAAGACTAGAGTCTGAGTGGTGACAATTCCTTGTCTCTATAGCTCAGCCATCTCTAGTTCAGCTATATTTACTAGATTTGATATAATTTTTAAAGGGCCAATTAACCCTCGGATTTTGATTTCTCGTCTCTTAGTGAGATACAGGAAATGCGCATCCCTTCCCTACTCTGGCGAAGGGGCTATTTGGAATTTGCTGTATTTGATTTTTCATTGAACTTCAAACTTGGATTTATTTTGGAGACTGGGAACAGTGTAAGGTGGCTGTCCTGGAGAGAGAGAGAGAGAGAGAGAGAGAGAGAGAGAGAGAGAGAGAGGAGGAGGATGAGAAGAAGAAAAGGACATATGTGTTTGGGTGGGAAGTAACCTCTAACATCATGGTCTAACTTAACAGACACCAAGGCGCGCGCACACAGTGGGAGCATCTCTATGAAGGAACAGAGAAAGCAGAAAATGTGAAAATGCCTCCAGTTCACCAGCCCTCGCGTTCCTTCAGCCCCTCCCTTAGTCCTCCTTGCAGCCTTGAGAGCTGGGAAACACGGGCATGGGTTTATATTTCACATAAAGGAAACTGAGTTAGAGAGGCTCCGCACGATCACGGGATGGGGCAGAATTTGAACCTGCCTGTGCTGCATGGCTGAGAACACCAGCTCGGGGCTCAGCACAGCCATTTCCAGCTTAGCTTCCCCAGACATTGGCTAGTGACCATGACTAGTTACTCACTGATCTTTCGGGCCTCACTATCCTCCTCTGTAAAATGGGCATAAACCTGCTACCTACCCTGTGATGGCTGCAAGTAATACAAGAGATAATACCTGAAGAGTGTTTAGCACTGTGCCAGAACACAGGTAAGCACACAACAAATGTCCCTTCTTCTCCTTTGTAGTATTCTAATAATAGGAAATAGCCACCTATGTCCGGCCACCTATGTCCGGCCCTCAACCCGGTGTTCATTCTACTGCCACCCACTACATTCATTGATTTTTTTCCTCTCCCCTGCCACCTGTATTCTTCTTTCTGTCTCTCCTACAGTTCCCTTCACCTTCCTTCCTATCACATATCTGCAAGCCTCTGACTCTTAAGCACATACATACATACACACACACACACACACACACACACACACACACACACACACATCTGCCTTACTACACTTTGTACCCATCTGTCTCCGTCTTTCCCACCGAAGTCTACCAGAGCCTCAGGGACTCAGAGAAGGCCCGGAGAGCCTGCCAGGGCCTCTGCCTGCGTCACCCTGGGGAGGAGAGCTCAGTATACCCAGCTCGCGCTTTGTTGCTTTTGGTTAGCCTGCTCCTGCACCACGCCAACAGGTCAGAGTGTCTCCGGTGGTTAAGCTCGTTAACTACCGTTTTCCTGTTTGGGGCTTTAGTTGAGGTGGAGGTTACCGGAGGGAGAGCCAGGACAAGCTGGGCTAGGCTGAGGCGTAGCCGGCTGAACCGCCGCGTGATCCCTTTCACTTCGGAACTAATTCCCCGGATCAAGCGCCCTTTCTGGCAACGAGATAAACAGGTTCCGCTGGAAGTTTGGCTGCTTGGCTTGGAAGCCCTCGATCACCGCGCGCTCACCTCCATCCACCTCGGCTCCGGGCTGGGGAGGAGACAGTGGCGGCCATTGTGTGCTGGCCCAGGCTTCACGCCCACTGGGACTGACAGACAGACTGCCTCCCCTGCACAGGTCTCCCCGCAGACCTGCAGGCCCGGCCCAGAAGCCGGACAAGGGAACTTCCGGGCAAAGTGGGGCTGTGCTGGCTTCTCCTAAGAAGCTGATTCTGAGAAACCTTTCTTCTATGGCGTTGCTATTTCTAGCAGAGTTCCACACCTTGGGCGCCTCGCTATCCTCCCTGCCCTCCTGCAGGAGCCTAGAGAAAGGCTTTCCACTGACCTGTCAAATCTTCTTCTAATAATATTTATTCGTTTGCTTTTTTTTTTCCAAGAAGGAGATTTCTTTTGGTTTTATTTTTGTTGTATTGAAGTGTGATTTACAAGCAGTGAAGAGCTCAGATCTTAAGTATGCTGTTTAATTGGTTTAGACAAAGGTATACACACTTGTGTAACCCACATTCCTCATCGCCCCAGAAAGTAGCATAACTTTTTAAAGTAAAACCCCAAAAATAAAAACAATAAGAGTAAAACCCAAGGCCATTCTCTGTGAGTCTTTGATAGAAGCACACAGGTCCACTTCACAGCATTCTAGCGATTGCATTAGCTAAATGAGTGACTCAGCTTTAACATTTGATTCTTTTTATTGAATTGATTAGGGTGAGGCTGGTTAACAAAATTATACAGGTGTCAGGGGGCACAATTCCACAGCACATCATCTGATACTATTGCATGCTTAGCACCTTAACCTTAACGTTTTTTGTTTTTGTTTTTATTTCTTCTCGCCAGGGCAATACAGCATCAGAGTCAACATTCTGTCCTCTGCATGTATTGTGTGCGTCTGCGCGCAGTGTGCGTGACTCTGGGGGCTCCGCTTTTCGCCGCTCCCCTGGGATTCCGCCTCACAGCCCCGTCTCCCCCTGCCTGAGCCTGGGTCCCCAGGGTCTGGCCTAGGACTGGGGTTTAGAGCGGGACTGGGGCCCAACACGGCAGGGGCTCCTGTTTCCTTCCCTCCAGGGCAATCCCGCATCAGAGTCAACATTCCTTGCCTTGCAAGCAATGTGCGCGACTCTGGGGGCTCGGCCTTTCACCGCTCTCCCAGGACTCCACCTCACAGCCCCGTCTCCCTCTGCTTGAGCTTGGGTCCCCAGGGATTGGCCTAGAACTGGGGTTCAGAGCAGTCCAGACTGAGGCTCAGCGCCGCTGGAGGCTTTGTTTCTTCCCACTAGGGTAACCCAGCATCAGAGTCAACATTCAGTCCTCTGCGCGCAATGTGCACGCGACTCCGGGGGCCCTGCTTTTTGCTGCTCACTGGGGCTCAGCGCTGCCGGTTCGGGGTTTCAGTCCAGGCTGGGGGTTTTATTTCCTTCCTGCTAGGGAATGCCAGGCAGCACCCAGCCTTCTCCTCCTCTCCGGCTGCGTCCTCTCCGCATACGCGCATGTGCATGCGCGCAGCATGTCTCTGTAGCTTAGGCTTTTTTCAGCTCCTCTGATTTTCCTTTTGGTTTTCTCTTTCCTTCTTGTTGTAGAATTTTCAGTCAGTCGACTACCTGTAGCTCTAGGCAATGTCCACTCTACATTTTAGTTGTATTCCATTGAAATTGTTGTGTGCTGCTGCGGTTAGATGTCTACCCGAGCAGCCATCTTGGATCCTCTCTGTTTTTTTAAAAATATATATTTTATTGATTTTGTACAGAGAGGAAGGGAGAGAAATAGAGAGCTAGAAACATCGATGAGAGTCATCGATCAGCTGCCTCTTGCACACCCCCTACTGGGGATATGCCTGCAACCAAGGTACATGCCCTTGACCGGAATTGAACCCGGGTCCCTTCAGTCCCCAAGTTGACTCTCTATCCATTGAGCCCCTGCCTTCCAGGTGCCTTCTTTCTGGAGGCTTCTCTCTTGGGACTCCAGGGGAGTAGGATGCACCGGACCCCGCTGTACCCCACCCTGGGATGCAGCCTTCACAGAGGCCTGTATGTTCAAGAAGAGCTTTCGGTCTCACCGACAGAACGTTTTCTTTCATTTGTACCCATTCCTTCTTGCAGAGGATCCTGCCACAACGGTGTCAGCGGGAGATGCGGGAGGAAGGGAAGACCCTGCCTGCCTGGGGCTCTGCAGGCCTGAATGCCCTGGCCCGGCCCACCCAGGTCAGGAGGGGTTCCCCCCACACTGGGGACAAGGGTGCACAGAGCCACAGTGGGCCAAACCGACAGCGGGAGCTGCGGCTGCTGTGGCAATGAAGCGGAGATCTGCTGTAGGAATCGTTTACAGAATCATTTTAATGGCCATGCAGACCTCTTCCCTTGAGGCCATCTGTCTTCTCCTGGAGCAGCTATCTCTAAAACGCCACTCAGCGCCTGTGTCCCTCCTGCCTGCATGCAATTGCGCCTCTGTGTATCCCTGTTCAGACCCCGCCGGGGCAGCGTGGGAAACAGCGGACAGCGCTCCTTCCTTCCCGCACTCCCCTCTCCAGGGCACGTTTTTTATCTTCTGGGAACTTCCCGTAAGAAGCTATTTTCGGTGGTTGAGGGAGCGGATCAGGAGCGGGAGGGGCTGAGCGCGCTGGGGCCAGGAGGATTCAGAAGAGCATCTACCTTCCATGGATCTAAACTTGTCCTTCCTTCGCAAACTTGGCTGCTCTTTGGAACCGCGGGGGAGCTTTGGAAACAAGTGATGCCTGGCTGTCAGCGCACAGGTCTGACTTAGTTCCTCTGGGATACAGCGTGGGCATCCGGGTGCTTAACTCCCCCAGGTCCCCCGGTGGAAAACCACGGGAGTGCATCCCTCCCTCCTCGTCCCACTCGGGAACAATCAGACCCTCTGTCCAGGTCGTTGGCCTCAGGGATCGGGCTCCGGTCCCTTTGCAACCTGCCATCTCTAGATCCGCAAGGTCCATCTCGGAAAATCCGCGCGCGCGACCACGCCAAACACGCGGCGGCAGCGGGCGGGGCTGGGGCTGGGCGGAGGCGGGGCCTCTCGTGGCCCCGCCTCCCGTACGCCTATCGGCGAGCGGTGCGGGCCCTGACGTCACTCTTGTCAGGGCCGCGGCACATGGGCGGCCGGATGCGCTGAGCCCGGCGCTGCGGGCCGCGGGGCGCAGGGGACCAGCGGCCGCCCGCGCGCGGGGCGCGGGGTGGGCTGGGGCCGCGTGCGGCCTCGGGTGCTGGTGGGACGGGGCCGCGTTGTCTTGGAGTCTTCCGCACTCCTGCGATCGCCTGCACAGTCTTTTTATATTTTTTATTTTATTTTATTTTTGCAATCAAACATTTTTGCAAGGCGGTGGTGGGTTCAAGACAGGTGAGAGCATCCCGCAGGTCGCCGTCCCGGAGCCGGAGGGCACTTGGCGCGCTCTCCGGAGGCCGGCCGCACTGGAAACCTGAAAGTTTTTTGCTTTTATTATTATTTTTTTTAATGCAGATGCATTTCTAAAGCTATAAACACATTTTTTTTTTTTCCTTCCCTGGTCTCCAAGCGAGTACTTTTGGCAAAGGACGGAGGAAAAAAGCTCAACAGCATTTTGGGGGGCGGTTATATATTTTTTTAAGAAAAACATTTGCATCGCCATGGAGAAAATGTCCCGACCGCTCCCCCTGAACCCCACCTTTATCCCGCCTCCCTACGGCGTGCTCAGGTCCCTGCTGGAGAACCCGCTGAAGCTCCCCCTTCATCCTGAAGACGGTGAGCGCTGCCCTCCTGGTTGCCCCTCTCTGGGAGGGGGAAAGAAGCTCTTGGGGTCCCCCTCCTTCGCAGGGCAACCCCCCCCCCCCCCACTTCTCCCCTGCTCCCCGCAGCTAGCTCGCTGGAGCATCCATCTCCCTCCGTTCCCAGGGACCCCGGCCCTGCTTTAATGACATAGAGGAGCTCACCCATCACCCCACCTCCCCTCGAAAAATGGGGACCCCCCCCTCACTGTGCAATGTTTCCAATAATGCAGGGGACCCGGCCCAGCCTCCCCAGGTCCAGCTCCGGCTGAGCGAAGGGAGATGGAACTTGACAGGTCCGTGTTCCGCACACGGAGGCTTCTGCGCCCGCAGAGAGACCCGCCCGGGCCGGGCAGAGCTCCTGCTGGGGGAGGAGAGATGGGGGGGGGGGCGAATTGGGGGGAGGGGTGTCTCACCGTCTAGGCCGAGTATTGGGATCCTATTATTGTGCCTGTTATTAGTTCGGATTTGGAGCTCAGGAGGTGTGCGCGGAGACACGAGTTCCCCAGTGAAGAGTAATTGAGAAGCGGGGGGAGGAGGGGTGCTGAGAGCTGGCGGGGGTGGGGGCTGAGGGGTGCTGCCTCCCCGCGGGAAGCGGTGCCCGCCTCCTCTCGCTCTGCACTTTGTCGGTGGGAGGGGAGCGAGGAGCAGGCTCACGTGTAGCGGCGCGGGAGCCTCCTCTGGCCCGAGCCCTTTCCTGGTAAGTCCCGAAGCTTCCCCGGTGGCCTGGGCTGGAGCGGGACCTGAGGGAGGGAGGGAGGGGTCGTGCAAGGAGACCTTGAACCACCCGAGCTGGTGCAGCCAGGGGTTTGCCATTTGGGCTCATCCCAGTAGCAAATGCAGACCGTGTGGCTCGGAGTGGAAGGTCCTGAAAGATCCTTTGGCCACCCATAGCCGGGGAGCACTTGCATCTTCTCGCACCCTCTTTGCTGGCAGGGGCCCACCTGTTGCATGGCACCCAGGCCTTGTTGTGTACCCAGGCCGAGGGGCTTGTTCTCCGTCTGCAGAGCACAGCCTTCCACGGAGCTCTCCTTGAAGGAGTAGCACTTGGCAGGGAGGTGCTGCCTGCCTGCAGCCTTTTTTGCATCCGTGGGTGTTTCCAGTCAGATTCTCGGGAGATGAGACTGGAGAGGATTAGAACGGATGGCGGCGGAGGCCGTGTTTCTCCGAGGAAGGAGCTCAGAAGCCAAATTCCTTAATTCCCAGATTCCACCGGCGCCTGAGTACTAGACTTGGCAAAACCCTGAGCGCTGGGTAAAGCCCTCCCGGGGTGAGGCGATGCTTCCAGGTAAAAATAGTTGCATACCTCCATCATAGGTATGTCAGGTAACCACCTTTCCCATCAGCCGGGCTTTTAACAGCTTGTGTGCATGTGTGATTTTTGTGAACCAGGTCACACTTACGTGTTTAGGGGAAGAGGTGGAAGAAAACACTTTGTGTGTGTGTGTGTGTGTGTGTGTTTATTTTTAAGGAAATAAAACTCCTTTTGTAGAATCCAGTGTAGCCCAGTGGATTTAGAAGCAAAACCTGAACTTAGGCCATGTTCTCAGTTGTCTTCTGGGCCAATATGAGGCATTGGTCAGGTTCCTTCCGGCTTAGAGCCTCCATGTCTTCATTATACATGGGGATAATCACGAGTTGCAAGTAGATTCTGGGAGTTTGGGAGAGGATATATGGAAAGAGCCAGGTACGAAGTAGGTGCTCAATACACGGTTTCAGAGAAGGGAGGAGAGTCCCTGCTTCAGCAAACTTGGAATCACCAACTCCCGGGCTTTCCACATCTGAATGGCTTCCTATTGTTACTGTAATGACTTTCCTAGATGCTAAATCATGCCTAGTTATTGCCTTTTTTTCTTTAAAAAAAAAAAAATCCCAGCGGTTTTATATAATTGTGAGCGTTACTTTCCCACTGTGGGTTGAAATGATTTGCCTCCTCAAATAATGCCCCAAAGACTGTGCCCTTGTGTTTACGTCCCAGAGCAGTCTGTCGCCCCAACCCAAGGACCAGCGCTTTCTTTCCAAAGTAAATAGGAAGATGCTGAAACACGGGCCCGGATCCATGTCCTGCCTGAACTTTTCACTCTGGAGCCACAAAAGCCAGCGGCCAGACAGCCCCGGTGTTTGTGAGACCAGTAGCTCTGGAGCAGAGGCTGGGAGAGGCGGTGAGAAGGCCGCATGTTCTCTCTGTTAACATCCGACTCTCCCCTTTCCCCGCAGCGTTTCACAAAGACAAAGACAAGGACAAGAAGCTGGACGATGAGAGCCACAGCCCGACCGTCCCCCAGTCCGCCTTCCTGGGACCCACCCTATGGGACAAAACCCTTCCCTACGACGGAGACACGTTCCAGCTGGAGTACATGGACCTGGAGGAGTTTCTGTCCGAGAACGGCATCCCCCCCAGCCCTCAGCACGACCACAGCCCGCACCCTCCCCCGGGGCTGCCGCCCGCCGCCCCCGCCGCCCCCTCCGTGGTGGACCTCAGCAGCCGGGCCTCTGCGCCCCTTCACCCCGGCATCCCGTCCCCGACCTGCATGCAGAGCCCCATCAGACCAGGTAACCCCTCCGGCGGCTCTCCCTGCTCACTGCAGGCAGGGAGGGGGCTAAGGGAGCGGTGGGAAGGGGAGGGGGGGTAAACTTCTTCGTTGGGGGGGGCTTCGCTCGCTCTGAAAGAGGAGCCTCGAACAGGGTGAGGTGTCCAGTTGTTCGTCTGGAAACTGGTACAGTGATGAAAAAATGCGAATACAAGAGTATAAACGGTATTTGGCGTACTCGCCGCTGTGCACCTGCTTTTGCCCCAGGCTGTCCCACCCCCAGCAGCCGGGGTCCCACTCCAGTGAGGGTCTGTGCCACCTGGGGCGTCGGCCGAATGCAGACCAACCCTAGAAATGCTGGTTTTCAGGCCTGGGGTCAGAGCCCAGGAACATGCATGTTAACCAGCTCCCCGGGGGACTGGATGCCATTGGTCCAAGGACTGCAGCATAAGAAACACCAACGGACAGGTGATGATTCGGACAGTTCAGCATCCCTCTCGTCTCCTGCCCCTGTCCGCATCCCCCAGCTCCCCGGATATGAGGCTCTTGTAAAGGATGTGTGTAGACGCTCTATAAGGCAGTGGTGTACGTACGTTCCCCCTTGGCTGGCCTGAAGGGAAAAAACGATGTGAGTTAAGGGCATGGGGCAGATAGGCGTTTTATCTTTTCGTCTCATGTCGTCACGATGGAGAAGTTGACTCTCAACCCACCTCTCCTAGTAAGCACGGCCTGGCCTTTTTCAGCACCAGGCCCCACAGTTAGTTCTCTCTTCCGTATTCCTCTAAACCAAGTTGTCCTTACATGTCCCTTTGTCATTTTCCTCTGTCTGAGCACACTTAGTCCACTTTTATCAATGCCTGCAAGGCCGCAAGGTCGGCTGGAAATGGTGTTGAAATATCACAAAAACCATCCCCTGAAATGGCCAGGACTTCAAAACCCGCTGCCGAGCGCTGATACACACGGAGGGAGGCGGCTGTGGCTCCGGGCCTGCAGCTCCCCGCGGTCCAAAATGAGCAGGAAGAAAGGCCGCGCTTTGTGCGCAGGTAACCTGGAACAAAGATTGGGCCGGATCCATTGTCAGGAAGGCCTCGGAGCTGAGGCCTGCGCTGCAGGGGAGGACGGAGAGCAGGACAATGGGAGATTGTGCTGGAGATCCTTCCTGAACCCCGTGTCCTCCGGGAGAATTTCTGTGACATGCGGAGCAAGAGTAAAAGGAAGGACAGGCAGCAAAGGAGGAAGAGCGCCCCCCCTGCCTGGAAGTGTTAGTGTTGGGGTTAAAGTTCTCCATTCATAGCTCTCTGTGCCGGCCCCCTCCTCCCAGATCTACTGTGAGTTATGGCCCAAGGCTACTGGCTGGCACGGAATTCATTCTTAACCTCTCACCGCCCCGGGAGGCTGAGGAAGCTTGGGAGAACTCTCTTTCCTATGACCCCGAGGCCCGGGTACTATGAGCGGACAGTGCCACTGCCTTCACCTTCTTCCCAGGGCCAGACAAGCAGCAAAACACACCATTCAAAGTGACACAAAACCGGGGAGAGGGGGACAGAGCCCCGGTGGGAAGGCCCCGCTGTGCCTCTCGGGCTTTCTGCTCCGTGGCTAAGGGGACGTGCCACTTTGTAGCCCGGTGGCCTTTCACGGGACAGCCTCTCAGAGCTTCTGTTTCCCTCTGTGTAGAATGACAGATTGTCTGTTTGAGCTGTTGTGAAAAATGGAGGTGAGGTACATAAAAGGTGCGGAGGCTAGCATCACGAGAGCAGAGATGATCGTTGTCATGTGTGTGTCATCTTTTATCATGTCGTGTTCGATCCCTGTCTTCTGAAATACCTTCTTAGACTAATGAGGTACATACAGTATGCAGCTACTTTGTCTGGGGAGAACTCTGAGGAGGTGTGGACCCGTCGTTACTGGCGTGGGGTGTTTGAACCCTACCGCTTACAATCAATTGATATGTATTTCTCACCCCTCCGCCAAATGCCATGTTAGGAATACTGTTTGCCCAGTATTGGGCCCCCACACCGTGGTTCTCAGTGAGGATCAAGAGCTGGGGTTGGGACTGAGGCTTTGGTGACAGTCTTTTGTCAGAGCTCGTTAGGATCCGTGTTCACCAGCAACTCAGGAGCCTGAGGTGCCCCGGTCCGATTCGAAGCCCATAGTGAGGACTCCTGCTGTCAGTGTCTGTCACTGGTTGGGGGGGGTGGGGGGGGGAAGGGGGCGGAAAGACACTAGGACCAAAGGGGACACACAAATACTTTGTTGACACGTCTTTTTTTGATCATGGAGACACACTTCAAAATAATCTCCTTCTTTGAGTTGAAAACACAATGATATTCCTCACAAAAAAGGGGAAACATTAAAGCTCTTCTTCAGACACCAGATGCCGATGAAATGTCCTCTGCTGTTGATCCTTACAAAGATCATGATGCAAAATAGAACTCTCGCAGGTGTGGGCCTGGTGCAGGGTCCCTCCTAAGCAAACCTGACAAAGGAGAGAGCTCTCGGTGGTCCTGTGTAATCACAGTGGTGACCGGAATGGAAAGACCAGGTTTCTATTGAGGAAAAGAAATCCTCAGAAGGGAACAGCACAGAGGTAGCCTGGAGCATTCTGGGAATTGTGTAATCTCAGTCTAGAGCAGGACTTCCCAACCTTGGCGGTACTGCTGTTGCAAGTAAGTCTTTGTTGTGGGAAACTGTCCTGTGCATTGTAGGAAATTTAACAGCACACACGCACACTCACACGCACACACACACACACACACACACTCTCATACACTTATCCACACACTTATTCACACACACTCATCTATTCATACACACACACACACTCACACGCTTACTTATTCTCACATGCACACTCACACTTGCACATACGCTCACACACACACACTTCACACACACTCACTTATTCACACACAATTATTCACACATACACACTCTCACTCCACACACACTTATTCTCTCTCTCTCTCTCTCTCTCTCTCTCTCTCTCTCTCACACACACACACACACACACACACACACACACACAAAAGTTAGCTGTGACAAGTTGCTGCCAGATGTCCCCTGGAGGCAGGATCATCCCTATTGAGAAGTGATGTCCACTGTCCACTGGGGACTGAATGCGGACCCTGTCACCCACATGGATGCTTTTGACCTCCTGTAATGCTCTGTGGCCAAACTCTCGAGAATGTCAGGAGACATTAGGTTTCAAGAAGAAATACAGTGTTCATAGAGCAGAGTCGTGCACTTTTAGTTTATAAAAGTATGGCACCGGGTGAACCAGGAGACATTTTCAGAGTTTTGATATTAAACATTTGATTTCTGCTATTGCATCGTTTGGGCTATGCTGGGGAGCATGTATCATTAGGGCTCTCTGTCTGGCGGGAAGGAAACGAAGTGGGAGGTAACACATGGCCACTTCTTGGTCTGCCCAGAGCATGTCTTGGAATGGCACGGTGAGCATTCCTGTGAATTCTCATACGATCGGCCGTGACTCGCCCCAACCCCCTTTCCTGTTTTGCGCACCCATCCTTATTCCTCTGTCTCGCTGTCTGATCAGAAAATGAGTCAAATGTCTGGAGAAATATACTTGGCCTTGCAGAAATACTCCAGGGGCCCATTCGCCCTCCTGTGGCTCTGGGTGACGCTCAGCTTCCTGGGCTGACGCCCTAATGGCAGAAGAAGAGGGGTGGCTGCTGGATGCTCTGGCACCTGCACAGCTGCTCAGTCACCTGGGTGCCGCCTCCCGGGCGTCCCAGGCAGCAGAGGCCGGCGTCACCCTGACCACATCGGTGACTGGGCTCCAGGGGGGACCAGGAGTGGGACTTGGAAGCGCCGGGTCCTGGAAACATAAGAATCCGTTTGCCCGGAGGATGGAGCGGCCGCTGTAAGGACAGCAGTCCCTTTAGGGAAAGTCACAGCAGCAGACAAAGGCAGGGTTATTTTTAAATCACACGCTTGTGGAGCCAACGTTGAGATCGTTTCCTCTGGTGGTTTTCCTTTGAATAGCTCGGGGTTGTCCTGCCCTGGCAGACCCGTACGCAGCTGAGGGATGGGGAGCCTCCCTCTCTGGGTGTGGATGAAGGACGGCTGAGGGTGATGAGAAAACCCTTCCACGTGGTGGGGGGAGGAGGGAGCGTCAGGGAGCCCCCAGCATGCCCATGGGAGATGGAATGGGCGTGGTTTCTGCTGACCTTGCCTTGTGAGAAGGTTGGGCCTGGCAGGAGAATGCTGGCCATGGGTCTGAGTACTGATGGCAGGAGGTTGTGTGCTGGTGGCTCTGGGATGAGGGGAGGGTCTGCCCTGGCACCAGTGTTCTCTGGCTTTTCCCAGACTCATTAGGTGAAGCGTCAGTGTCCCCTCCCCATACATGCAGGCGGCTCATATGTTGGCCACCAGTGTGGTGACATTCGCAGGTGGGGGCGTGGGGACTGAAGGTAGCTGTGCGCTGTGCCTCGGGGAAGAGCCTCGGGACCCAGGATGTCACCCAGGGGAGGGCATCGGCTTCGTCCCGGAGGCAGGCAGACTTCTGTCTGTCTCCTCAAAGAGTGTGTCTTCTCCGCCGAGCGCTGTGGCTTTATCGTGCCGAGGACAGTGGTTCCCGGCCTCTGGAAAGAGGTGTCTCAGACAGGCACGGACAGCAGGACAACTCGGTTCTTAAGAGCATAGGCGCCCGGTCGGCGTGGCACAGTGGTTGAGCATCGACCTATGAACCAGGAGGTCACAGTTTGATTCCTGGTCAGGGCACACGCCCGGGGTTGTGGACTCAATCCCCAGTAGGGGGCGTGCAGGCGGCAGCCGATCCTTGATTTTCTCTCATTGTGGATGTTTCTCTCTCTCTCACTTTCCCCTCCTCTCTGAAATCAGTAAAACTATATTAAATTAAAAAAAAACCCACATAGGCTCTGGACCCAGGGACTTGGGTTCACATCCTGGACCCACACTGGCCTTGTCTATAAGTTTGTGTCGGTTCCTCGGCCTCTTTAGGCCTCGGTTTCCTCGTCAATAGAATGAAGACAGTAACCA